CACTTCTTCGGATGCAGTGAGGTTTTTACTCATGAAAGCTTATACCCAAATAAATCTGTTAGTCTTTAAGGTGCCACCAGACTCCTTGTTGTTTTTGTAGGGACATAGGAATTGCCATAGTGGATTAGACCAGTGGTCCATCTATTCCAATATCCTGTTGTGACATTAAGAACAGCGCAAGGGCCACGGGTACCCAGATATCTGGTAATGAACAGCAGCTGGCTTAACCAATTCATCAGTACCCCAATTCTTTAATGTCATGAAATATATCTGATAAGTGTCATACAAGGTGTCAATGAAAAAGCTCATGACTCACTGGTTATTAATATTATTACATAATGTAGGTGCAAGCAACTGATGCAAAGTGATGGACATAAACTGAAATTATAGTTCAGTGTTAAAATGTGTTTGCCAGCCAAGACAAAGGAACAGTTGAAGAGGAACAATTAGTAGCATTCACTCAGCTTCATTTGACCATTCTTGACCAGTTTTTTTCAGCCAAAGTTATTAATGAGCTGACGTTCATCCCACAAACACCAAATCAGGAATAAGCCTTGCCCCCACTATACTGTCTTGGATGCCTTTTACAAATTAAAACCTCATGTACTCGCCATTTGTAAGCAGACACGCACTAATCAAGGTGTACCCTATAATTTCAAATTTGCTGTATTCTTTCCCAATAAGAATCTCATAATGGTTACCAGTTCTCCTCTCGGTTGCTTATTAAAGAAGCTTGTGGAGCAGCAACCTTATAGAGGCTTTTATTATTTACTATATCTATAAATGATATTATTATAGCTTTTATTAATGTGAAAGTACATTTTTATGTGGCTGACGTAGTACACAACAGCACTAAATCTTAACTAGGAGTTACAATCTAGTTTACAATCTAATGTTGATAACTTGCTATCCTGGCAAAAAAGGAAATTGACTTTCTATAGGAGAGAACTAGGCCTAATCAGTGATTTATTTATAGTTGAGAGGAGAAAGCCAGGTAAATAGTCCCACTCTGAACACACTCTTCTGAGCCAGGGAATGTATTGTTCTTTTCCTCTCCATATTTTGTTCTAACTGGGATTTTTTCAGGTTTTGGCCACGTCTAGACATTGCTTGCCCATGACAATACCTCCAAGAGTTAGAGGATGCAGCATGGTCTAATGAACAGGAAGCACTGGACTGAGCGTCTGCTGACTTAAGTTCTATTTCTGAACTTGAGCTTGGGCGAGTTATTTCACCTCTCTGTTTCTGTTTCTCCTCCTACCATTTGTCTATTTTGGCTGTAATCTCTTTTGGGGATGGACTTTCTTATTATGTGTATGTACAGTGCCTAGCATAATGATCTCAGTTGGGGTCTCTAGATGCTGCTGTAATACAAATAGTAAATTCATAGACTGAAGGCCAGAAGGGACCGTCATGGTCTTCTGGTCTGACCTCCTGCATGTTGCAGGCCACAGAACCTCACCCACTCTCTCCTGTACTAGACCCATAACCTCTGGCTGAGTTACTGAGATCCTCAGATTATGATTTATAGTCTTCAAGTTACAGAGAATCCATCATTTACTCTAGTTCAAACCAGCAAATGCCCCATGCTCCACGCTGCAGAGGAAGGTGATAAACCCCCAGGGTCTCTGCCAATCTGATCCTGGGGGAAAATTCCTTCCTGACCCCAAATATGGTGATCAGTTAGACTCTGAGCATGTGGGCAAGACCCATTAGCCAGACACCTGGGAAAGAATTTACTGTAGTAACACATAGCCCTCCCCATCTACTAGCCCATCTCTGGCTGTTTCCTACATGCCATTGCAGGCAACCTTATCTACCATCCCCTCCATAAATTTACCAAGGCTAGTCTTGAAACCAGTTAGGCTTTTTAATAATATAACAATAATACAATAGAGTTTTTAATATTATAATACTGCTCTGTTTATAAACATCAGCACACAAAGTTGAGCAACAAAATCTTTATGTGCCTAAATAACCATTTTAGGCACCTACTGACTGATTTAGGAACCTAAATATGGCACCCAATACCTTAAATAGACAGGGTCTTTCTTCAGAGAAGTGATTCGGTATAGTACCCATTTGGGTCCCTGCTGACACATGAACAGTTTGGTGGAGTCCAGCCTTGAAGAAGCAAGGGTCACAATAGTTTAAGTGAGAAGATCTGCAAGTGTGAACATTTTTGAAACATGTCTGTTGGAAGTTTTTAACAAACATGTTTGAAATTGTTTTAGTATGTGAAATTCAACTTGTCACTCATATTTAGCATTATGTGCTAAAAGTCTCAGCAATGTCTGTGTTATATTCCCAGAATACACTTGAAAATGAGATGCTTAGACCTCGTGGAAATGGATATGCTATAATCAAAGGTCTGAAGGCTAGAAGTGGAGAAATCTCCAAACCATTCTCTCTTGCAATGCTCTCACAGAGAGAGAGACACTTTCCATTTGCTTCAACAGTTCAGAAAACCAGTACTGCTGTAAAATAGCTTTTACACGGAGGGCCTCAGTAAACTCTACACCAGCTTCAGAGAGAATATTTGTTGAGGCAGAGTCAGCTATGGACAGTCTGAAGCCGAGTGGTTGTGCTTGATGAACTCTCATGCATACTAATACTCGGAACACTCTCTTCCAGGTCACAGAGCTAGTCTGATCTCTGGGAACAAATCAAAAAGCTTGGGAGTTCAAATGACTTGTTTGCCTTGAAGACTATTTTAGTCATGAAAATGTAATTGCAGATGGACTGCTGAACTTTGTTTCTTAGATAGGATGTCATCTGAGTTGATATTGGTTAGCTTTTCAGTAATACTTTGACTAGACTTTTGCTGTTGTCTGACAGGAATTGATGGCCCTGCTGCATTTCAAGATGATGTTCAGGAGGTAGGAAGCCAAATTCAGATTCTTACTGTTGGGCAGTCTAGCCACAATGAAGATGATGGAGAGACGATGGCTAGTGGCCAACAACAAAGCAGGCAGGACCTTAGAGTAACAATGCAGAAAAAGGGTAAGTAGCCAAAGCTACCTACTTATGCTCGTTGTTTGCTGTTTTTAGGCTGGCGACTCCTTCTACTCCCAATGGTAGCCTGGTCCTAAACTAAGGCATAGACATGTTTTTTCACCAGTTCACTTGAGGTCCTTCCTTCAGTGAATCATCATTATCCTTCCCTTATTGCTCCCTTGTTTTACCTCCATAATTGTAATGTTCCCCATTGGCCCAAGCAGCAAGAGACCTATGTGTACTCTGGGACATGGCTTTCCCATACTTCAGTGCAATGTTGCTATCAAGGTGGCAGGTGTTAAAGCTCTCATCCATACGTTTTACAATCTGAATTGCAGGATGATAGAAATCACGTACTTAAGCATAACAAAAGGGCTTGCAATGGCCACATATAAATTAGAAGGCAGAATATTAAGTGTGGTTGTAGAATCAATTCACAAATTCATCCTCCTAAAGGTAAAAATGACAGAACTGTATTCTGCGGCACTTCTTGGCAGCATACTTCTCAAATGTTCTGGGGTTTTTTCAAGGACAGCCCTGACTGGGGATGAAATAAGTGTGTGTGTGTGTGTGTGTATCTGTCTCTCCCTTTCTGCAACAGCGTTATCTCCTATCAGACAGCAGCTTAGGAGGAAATAAATCCTAAAATCTTCACAATGCTTTTCTGAAGCCTTAATGGCTCTGCTTCTTCAGCATGCAACCTTTGAAGTTAAGATGGCTTTGACCAAAGCTGCTCTACAGAGAGAAACTGGTGCTTTAAAAATATACACATAGTCCACAAAGAGCAAAATTTAAGTGAGAACTTGACTTGTATAGAATAGACTGTTCTTTTCTAAATGCCAGTTTCGTTTTGTAGAGCAGCTCTCACTGAGATTCATTATCTCAAATGCTTCACACTGTGGATGTTAGCGACTCAGCCTGAAATGAACACATTTCCTCCAAGTGTGAAGTTTCCTGGGTATTTGGATCTGAGAGAGACTGATTTGACTAACAAGTTCCCTGTGTATTGGTTGCCACTTAAATGCATGGCTCAAAATGTTTATAAGCCAGTCACCTTGCTCACAAAAGTTGGTTGATTTAGAAATTATAAATAGAGCTGGGTGAGAACATTTTCTGTTTCCTGGAAAGTTTTGCGAGTTAGAAAAAAAAAATCTGTTCCAAAACAGAAGGAAAACAAAAAAATTGAAATTTGCTAGGAAACCAAATTCCAAACAAAATATTTCATTTTGAAAAAAATCAAAACTTTTTTCTGATTTTGACATTTATTTTGTTTACATTTTAATAATGTAAAATAAAAGAAATTTCAAATAAAAATAATTTTGAAATGAAAAATAGAAATGTTTCATTCTGAAAATGTCAGAATAGAATGTTTTTTTTTTTTCATTTTTTTCCTTGAAAGGAAATTTGTCAAAATAGAAACTTTTCTGCAAAACATTTTGCTTTTGATGAATCGACATTTCCTGAGGGAAAATGTCGTCTTAGGAAATTTCTGACCAGCTCTAATTATAAACCAACTTTGAAGTTAGGTCAAACTACTGGGGTTTATTATTTTGGGGCAGTCTCTTTTTTTATATTAAAAACTGTTAAACTGGCATACTTAGTAGACAGTAAAGGTATGTCTACCCTGCACGCTTCTTACGGGGCCATGCAGCGTACATACCCACGTAGCACCCCCTAGCACGGGTATAAATAGCAGTGTGGTTGATGAGGCCTGGCTTAGATGAGTAGAATAAAGGCATGCCTGTAGGGTGTGGGCATATAGGCAAGTACATACCCTACATGCTCTCTGCTCACCCAAGCCATGCCTCTCCATCTAGATTTAGTGGTGTAGTGTCCCATGCTGCTGGAGCCTTCTTTCTCCTTCTCAGGAAGGACTCCCCCAATGGAGGAAGGCTCTGGCAGGAGGAGGCAGCAGGGAAAGAGTTGGGCATCTCCCCACTGTGGAATCTTTCCCCGCCACTGGGAAAGACTGGAAGCAGGAAAAGGCTGTCTGCTCCCTGCGGCTGGAGACTTCCCCTGCTGTCTCCCTTCTGGCAGGCTGTTTGTTGGTACACAAACCCTACACGCTGCCACTAGTGGTGCGTACAGTACACGTAGCCAGCCTAACAGTTTATGCAGGGGACGTTTTAAATGAAAGCACTGGGGATTTAGCTTCATGACCCCTGTTAAGGTCAGTGGATCACTCCATACCCTGTGTGGCTACAAAGCATCAATAAGTTGGTTTCAACTAGTAGAGGTTCTATGGGATATTCCTGTTGGATGATGGGCTCTGCCATCCCGTGAAGTGAGAAGGAAGCTTGTTAGCTAGCTTTTCTCACCCCTGGATATCCCAAGAACCCTGGGGACATTTGTTTAGGGGCTGAGGCTTTCAGGTGCAGGCCCAATGCTTCTGCCCTGGTCCCTGGACCATCTCACTGCCATGTCACCATGAATCTAGAGAACCATGCTCCTGTGGGAACCTTGAGAGTAGCTGCCCAGAAGCCACTTTCAATTTGTTTATGGGTGAGGAAGGGGAAAGCCGCGTAAGGGCAATGCTGATGGTAAGAAAGGGCATGCTGATTGTCATTAGAATTGCTTAGTCCTGATTTGAACCCATTCTGCTGTTTGACAGGAACTTTGTGGTGAGTGTCCAATGTTAACAGATGCCTGTCTGCTCCGCAGGGAGCATCCAACATGTCTGTTTCAGTTAGGAGAAGATAGGTTATAGAATACCTTACTGCACAGGCAATACTCTCCTTGCAAGGAAATGCCAAATGTTTTATTTGATTTCCCCATCTGCTGGAAAGTGCCACAACTAGAATAATTTTCTTCCTGTGGGAAATATTCTTGCCTTTTGATTTCAGTATTTTTAACATTGAGCCTTCCTTGACAGTGAATGAATCAGAAGGACAGACGCACACTTCCTCAGGTTTTAGCAAAAATCAGATGGAAATCTAACATTTAGTTACACCTTTATCAGTTTCATTAATGTCATTGTGACCGTAGCAGTCTGGATAGTTGTAATTCTTCATTGCCAGCTGGAGGTAAAATTGCTGTTGCTTTGAGATTTAGAGAAGGAATAGATTTGTGTAATACTTCAAGCAGCAAACAAAATTGCTTTCTGGGAACAAAGCTGAAACAGGAGCTTCTTTAAAGCATTCACAGGTTTTTTCCAAAAGATGCTTAGAACCAGTTTGTCAAACATTGGCAAACGTTTGCTAGTGATTACACCAGCAAAATCTGACTCCTGCATGATGGGTGTAAATGCAGACTAAAATAAAAGAACTGTTTATGCCACTGCATAGTAGTGTGCTCAATGCCCTGCTTTTTTATGCACCAGTGCCCATTTGGGACATGGAATGCTGAGGTTGCCCTCACAAATGTTGGATGTAATTTGCATGCCAGTATCGGAAACATTCTTTTTTCCCCCCATCCCAGAGCATCTTTGCAGACACTGGGAACACAGTACAGCATTGCCATTCATCCTGTTCTTGACTTATTCCTCTGTTAAATCCAGCCTGATCATGTCCCTGCGTATAATGTCCTATCTAATTGGTGGTCAGACTGATGTTGATTGTGTTTGCATTGTTTTCCTTAGCATCCTATCATTTGTTTGTCACCTGCAGCATCCCCCTTGTTGTAATCTTTTCAATTGTAGCCAATCCTGTACCCTGATTTGACATCCTACTCTCTTCCTAACCGCTTCAATCGTCTTTAAATCATTTCACTTTACACCTGCTGTCTTTCATCTTTACTGCCACCAGCCTTCTGATCTCTGTTTCATTTAATGCAGCTGCTTCCAGGCCATAGAATAATATGTTAGTACACTGGTTTGATAAATTTTCCCTTTGAACCTAGTTGTAATGTTTTTAACAATCCATAATCCCATCAATTTCTGTGCAGCACTTGTGGCTAAGGCCACATCTCCTTTTAACCTCATCCTTGATGGCGCAATTGGCACTGATCAAGCTTCCTAGGAACACATAAGATTCTACTTGTTCTATGACTTTGCTGTGTCTCCATTTCAGCACTTTATCTTTTGTCCCTTTCCCAGATTCAATCACTTCATCTTTTGGCATTTATTGTAACTCCAAGTCGACTACACCAATTTTCCAAGGTAGCAAAGGATGTCATTATTAATTCAAATGTGTCTGCCTGTTGTCATCTGCATGAGCTAAGGAGCTTAACTTCAGATCATTCAATGTTATGCCCTCCAAATAGTCTAATGTTCTTAATATCCAGTTGTAGAAAAGCGACCGTAATTCCATGTCCCCAGTTTGAAAAATTGGCTCTTGTTAAATAGCTTTTAAGGTTCTCAATGGGAGTCAAAGAATGAAGAGAGGGGCACATCATCACACCCTCTTCAGGTAGTTCCTATTCTGTGTGATGGTGGTGGGTGAGCACAGGTCTTCGAATTCTAACAGGTATGGCCAAAATGACTAGTTAATCTATGAGCTCTGACTTCCCTTATACACAGGATATTGTTGGAGACTCTTTTGACGCCATTTTTGTATTGTTTTTTTCCATAGTAGGGAGAACTGAAGCAGTGGATGATGGGACGATGCCTGTTGCATCTCTAAGGGATACTTAACAATGTGTATGCATCTACTTGACCTCTATGCATTTGTGGGAGGATGAGCATTTGAAGTGATTGGAAATAGCAATAAAATAAAGAAAATAAAATAAAGAAAAAATTAAATAAAAGCTACAACACAATTTTGATCAGTGTCAAAATTCAAACCTAAGAATATTGCCACAAGCATTTCAGCTAATATATGAGTCTATATACTAGTTTGGTTCAATCCTTGCTTGCTGTGCGTACCCCTGTGTGTATCCCTGAATTATATCGGTGTGTCAAAGATCAAAAAGTAGACCAAAGACTCACAGTGAAGAACTTACCCACAATGTGCTGAAAGATTAACAATGCAACCATTTAGCATGAATAATACATTCTGTAACCTCAGTTCTATAATTCAGCTCATTCTCATTTAATTCAAAATACTGAAAGGGAGGTGACACCAGGTTTCAATGGGCCTAAGGTAAGTTTCAGTCTTCAACAAGTGATGGCTTTTATAAAGGAGAATATCTGAGAGTTATGGCAGCAGAAATGTGGCTTTACCCAGCAAGCCCTTAGTCATGTGTGGGGTCCTCTCATCAAGGATTGTGCATGTGATTAAGGGTTTGCAAAACCAAGCCCATGGATTTTTTCCTTTCCCAGATCCCCACGCAAATACATCCTGGTCCACTTCCACCTCCCAATCCAGTCTTGTGGCCCTGGATCATGTTCCAGGTAAGTACAGAAGGAAGAAGTTAACCCTGCCCCTACTGTTTATTTGGCTCCAAAGATCTTTGTTTAGTACTTGTCCTATTTACCCTTCTGTATTTGAATTAACGATCATGGAAATTCTTGACCAAAATTATGGAAACTAACATATTTTTGGAACATATTATGTAATCAAGCTGTAATTTCAGATTTGGACCAAAAGTGGAAGGTGGCTTCATTTACGTAAAACTCCCTTGGAAAACCTGGCCTGCTAAGACTTCCCAGACCCCACCCACCTAGACCTTCTGCTGCCAAGTCCAACCTGGTCTTCAAACTTCCATTTCCTTAGACTCCTCAAAGTTTGTGTGGCGTGTGGCTGGGGCACTTGCGGGACTGACACATAAGTATTAAAGTGAAATGGATCAGTGATCTAAGGGATTCCCTCTGTTCTGGTCCTATTGTTACATACAAAAACGTACATAAAAACAGAGTTTGATTTTATAATTTTTTCCCCATCACACTAAGATCTGCTCCCCATGAGACAATATAGGAATAGCTAAGGCCCTACTTGAATTGCAGGATGATTGTCAAATAATTGCAGCAGAGTGTGGACAAGACACAGAAAAATCACAGTAAAGAAATAATGGACATTTATTAATTGCAGTAATTTGGAAAAGCCAAAGAAGACCTATTTAAGAAAACTTTGCTGGAACAATACAAACACTCAATGTTTATGTTATGTTATGCCTGCTAATTTTTTTTTTTTGATAACTGGACATTTTGCTGCAACTATATTACACTTATCAATGTGTGAGGTTGACAATGGGAGCCCCGCCTTGCACAGGTGCTGACAGCCCAAGCCCCAGCTGCTATCAGCTTGGATAAATGGGGTTCTACTGTACTAATGGTGAAAAAAGTATGTGTTGCAAACTTAAAAATGTATGCAAAATTGTGGAGTGTGCAAAGTAAGCTAATTAAAATCAAAATTGTGGTGGAAGCCTAATCCACAATTTCTGCAATATCACATATTAAGTAGGGCCTTAGGAATAGCTAAAAATTAAATCTGACCATAATGTGGTACATCTTGCAATTTTTTAGACCCCCCCGTGCAGCTGCAAAGGGCTGCCTTCACCGATCCGAATGGGGCTTTTATGATCTTGTATTTAAAGCACTCAACTAGGAGATCTGGATTTAGTTCCTGGCTCTGCCACACACTTCTTGTGTGTTCTTGGGTAAATCACTCAGTCTCTATAAAACGGGGATAATGACACTTCCTTTCCTCCCACCCTTTGTATGTCTTGTGTATTTAGATTGTAAAGCTCTTCAGGGCAGGAGCTTTCTCTTAGTATGTGTTTGTACAGGACCTAGCACACTGGGACCCCAATCTCACCTGGGGCTTCTAGGTTTAACAGTAGGAGAAATACTAATCATCGTTTGTATCCTGTATGCATGCATATGCAGCTTTAGTGTTTTCACATTTCATATACACTTGTTTGCTTGCTCCTCAGGCATTTCAAGCAGCATGAATTTTGATGAAGAGGATGAGGATGATGAAGACAGCTCAAGTTCCTCCCAGTTAAACAGTAACACCCGACCTGGCTCTGCAACAAGCAAGAAATCAAACAAGGTTAGAAGGCAGAAGTGTTGCCTGTAGATTAATATGAACTGTGTCATTTCCAGGTCAGAAAGCCAGCGTTTTTTAACAGGGGCATTTTTTAATATAGCATCTTGAGGGAGGTTTGCTGTGGTACATCACAGGATTCAGAGAAGCAAGTAATGGAAAGGTTGAATAGAAGAGTGTCTTCTGAAAATCAAAAACTAGAGATGGGTGAAATGACCTTAAATTTCATTGAAAAGTCAAACCAAACATTCCCAGAAGTAAACACATAGCTAATATTACCTGAACAAAGAGACAGAAAAATAGGTAAACTAAATATCAAATTGTTAAAATAAAATTTTTGATGAGAGTTGGTGATAGGGAGAGAGATTTTGACTTTACTATTATCTCCATCTGTAGTCTCTCACTCTGCTCCTGCCACTGGTACCCAAAGTGCTCTCAACTCTCTAGTACAGTCATTCTTAACTCTATTACCTCAACTGTAATTCATCCCCAATCAACCCACTTTTCCCTTTTGTGATCTCCCAATTGCCTACCTTTTCCAGACATGAACTTTCTCAGAATTGGGGGTATTGAGATCTAGGGTTTTGCGAAGGATGCATCCATAAATATAGAGCCAGATTCTGCCTTGCATTGGTTATGAATCTGACTTTCTAGGTGCAACTAACTCCACTCCTTTTTTCCAGTATGTCCCCTGTGCAGGGGTGCAGTTGGCATCGGAGACTGTTCCAATGGCTTTACACCAGCTGAGAGGGGGGATTCTCATCTGAGCTGCCTCCAAATCCCACCCCTTTGCAGCACCTGAGAGGCATAAGGGGTCCAGAACAGGGGGAATGCAATGTGCTATGTTATTGCCATTATTATTATTATTTATTTTTAAGAAAAGCTGTTTCTGCAGTGCAGCTGCTGACATGTTTCTTTAAAATCTTGTGTTTTCAGTCTTTCCTTTGTAATCGTAAAGTAAACATGAGGTAACCTTTCTTACTCTTCTAGGAGGCAGCCTCAGCTCCCAGCCCTTCCGCAAATGAGCCTGTCATAGATGTTGATGACCTGGAGGAGTTTGCTGTGAGACCTGCTCCACAGGGCGTCACCGTCAAATGCCGAATCACAAGAGACAAGAAGGGAATGGACCGAGGAATGTACCCTACCTATTACCTCCACTTGGAAAGGGAGGATGGTAAAAAGGTCATAAAATATACCTGAATGACATACCAGTTGCACCTGAACTTAAAACCATTAAAAGTGTCTTCAGAATTTTTATGTAGCCAGTAGAATTATACATTTCCTTTGACTAAGGGTTTGGTACTATGCAACGTGTCACCACATTACATTTACTTTCCCATTCTTTATCTTACTATTTGGACTTAGAAGAGTCAATGCCTGGCAGCTGAAAATCGTTAGCAACTGAGGCTCCTTGCCCTTTGCGACTGAAAGGCTTCTATTTTCACTTCCCTTGGAGGAGCCAGTACAAGCTAGAATTAAACATTTAACAAAGCATATCAGGTTTAATTATTTAAACCATAAATAATGGATTGAAGGAAGAAGCAGTTACTGCGCCTTGCTGGCTTTTACCCATTTTTGCTAAGTCTCAGGTGACTGCGTCTGCTGATGATGATAAACCTCGGGAACATTGCCCATTTCTTGGAAGGATGGGGTGTTAAACATTCTTTGACATTCTACAATGTGACATTTTCTGCATTCCTTAGGTATTTCTATTAGCCGGAAGGAAGCGAAAGAAGAGCAAAACTTCTAATTACCTCATCTCTATAGACCCAACTGACCTGTCTCGAGGTGGAGAGAGTTTCATTGGAAAACTAAGGTAAACATTTAAGCACCCAAGATAGAGAGGAAGGAATATGTGTTTCTTGACAGAATATTCCGTTTCGTTGCAATTATGATACCTGTACATTCTGTAAATTAAAAAGAGGGCTTATCCTTAGTTACAGTCTTGGTTATATCATGTGACTCTAGGCCTTGGGTAAAATTTTCAAAAGTACCTAAGTTCCATTTTCCATTTTTAAAAGTGATTTAGGTATGTAGGATCCTAAATCTTATTGAAAGCTAATGGGACAGATTTCCTAATCTATTTAGGTGCCTACCAATGCGGATATGCACCTAGGGGGATTTTCAAAAGCATCTAAGCAGATTAGGTGCCTAACCCCCATTGATTTTAATACCATTGAAAATCTGCCCTTAGGCCCTTTTGAAAATGTTACCCCTGTCTCCTGCCATTTAATAAAAGCCTTAAACTGCATTGTGATAAATGGGGGGGGGGGGAGCTCCCTTTTATGGACACCTAGCCAGCCAGTTAGCTATAAAATTCCTCTTAGTAACTGTTCTCTACTTGCTTTGCCTGTAAAGGGTTAACAAGCCAACAGGCAAAAAGAAAGGAGTGGGCGCCTGACCAACAGAGCCAATGGGAGGGCTAGAACTTTTTAAAACGGGAGGGAAAATTTCCCTTTTCTATGTGTTGTGGTTCCCCGGAGAGCGGAGACACAGAGTAGCAATGCTGTAAGAAGTCCCAAGTGAGATTGGGGTCTCAGTATATTATTGCACACACATATTTTAGTTATTTATTTCTTTAGATTTCTAAAAAAATATATACAGAAAAGTACTTATCTATTGGTCTAGGCACCTTTGATAGAACTTAAGAAAACCATCCAACTAAAACAGCAACTCAACAGAAACTCCCAACAAAACTCAGCCTCATGAGTGTCTTAAGCATCATACATGATACTCAAATTATTTAACTCTTTTTTTTATATGTGATCTGCATTGAAAATGGCACTGCAGATTAACTAGAACTGTACTGCTTCTTTTATGTCTGATTTATCGCCTCTTGATCTTGGTAGATTACAAGAATTCTCCCAACACAGTGCAATGATAGGGACAGTCACTATAACATGCATCTTATAATATCCTGCCTCCCAGAGGTGCATGTATATTTAGGATTTCAGATGACCACTTTATTTACAGTTAATAGAATATTATGGGATTTTTACCACTTGAGGCTCTGATATGATAAGGGACTAGATAATTCAGGCAGTATTGTCGACAAAAGTAATTTGTCTTCCTGTTTTTTGATAGATCAAATCTTATGGGGACTAAGTTTACAGTATATGACAATGGAGTAAATCCAATGAAAACAACATCAAGCCTAGAAGCAAGTAACCTGCGTCAGGAGCTAGCTGCTATTTGCTATGTAAGTACTGCTCGCAGGCAAAGCCTGTAAGGAGTGGGAGTCAATTTTCAAAACATTGGGCCTGGTTCTCTTCTCACTTACACTGGTATAAGTCAGAATTCGCTCCCTGAACAACTCAGGCTCCCAGTTTCAGATTGTCTCTCAGGAAGACAAGGAAACTTAACAGGAAGTAGAGGTAAGACATGTATCCACATGTACGCCTCGTCTCCAGCCAGATTGCCATCTGACAGGCCCCTCATCTCCAGTCAGAAGACCTCAGAGCTGTGGTACTATGGGGATAGAATGCTTTACACTCCTGTATACATCTTATGGGAACTGTAGCTGTGGGGACAAAATTACTACCAGTAAAACATGATCAGCAGCAATGGCACCCTGGAGATGGCATCTATGATCCAGTAGAGTTCACAGGGAGCTGGGCAGGTAGGTCTGAAATGGTCCCTTGGAGAGAAAGAGAGAGCGCATGTCTCCCCCTGAAGGAACCAAGAGCATCTGGCCTCTTTCTGGCTCCAGTATGATGTGGACCAGCTAGCCACACCATCCCCTCCCCCCAGCTTGAGAGGGTGAGTCTTGGGCTGTAAGAAACAATCTGTCTGGAGTGATGGATGGTGCGCTGAATGACCTGGAGGATTGTCAGCACATGAAAACCAAAATGAGGGGCCCCTCCGCTTCCATGGGCATGACTCCAGGCAATAGGGTCAATGATATTACCAACATTAACATGCTTTTTTTGTTGGGGCGTGGGGTTGGTTCTGTCTTAGTGCAGATGACACAACACCATTTCCCCCACCCATTAACCCACCCCTTCACTCTGGTGTCTGGGCGCTTCACGTCCGCCCCTTCAGATTTTCAGCAAACAATACCTTTAAAATCATAAACTCAAGCATTTGACTTCACTTTATATTTAGACTTCAGTTTCACTATGACATAGAGGCACTTACATGTCTAGTGAATTATTTTTACTGACTTTTGTAATGTGGCATTCCCTGTAGCAGAGCAACTGATCTGCTGCTGCTAGCCAGGAGTAGGAGTAAAAAAAAACAAAACTTTTTATATGTATTAAAAAAGAGAAATATGCAAATGAAGTGATATATAGCTATAGATATAGTTATAAAATATGCAAATTGAAGTATTGTATCATTTGCATGGAATCACCAGATATTTGGACATTCCAGATAAAAACCCCACCGTAGTCAATGGAGTTAGCGACTACATGCATAAAACTAATGTAAGTGAGATCAGAATCATACCCACTGTTTGGTGAGTTTGTATAAAACAGATTAATGAGTTTGCTTCTATGCCTATTACTAGATCAGTGTGTTTAAAACTTACAAGTATATATAAAAAAATTACACAGTTAAGATTATTACTTGTTCCACTGATCTTTTAATATTTCAGAAGAAAATTATTAGATTTGCAAATGCGCTCTGACCACAGCACAAAAGGTGATCTGGATTTGATTTGATTTGATTAATGACACTGCCTGTTAAAGTAAAGGTTGTTTGTACTGATTGCAGCACAAATGCAATGCAGTAAAGTACCACTCAGATGGTATTCAAAACAACTTTATCCTAAGGTGACCTTTTTAATTCCAGCCTTGGGTTTCCCTTGAGTAAAAACTACCCACTGTAACAAACATCTGATGTCAGATGTGAAACCCAACTCCCTCTTAGTTCATATTGATCAAGTCCCCTTTTGGAGAAAGCTGTGCCAGCAACAACCAGCATACTGAATCTGACCAGCATGCCTCATTTATCCAAACAAAATGAAAGACTGGCAATAACTTAATTGTTAATTGTAAGATAAATGCACTGAAATCCCTAATTGTGGAGCCCCCCTCTGTGTTATGCTCCAAGCACTATGGCTGAAGTAAGTGCAAGGGCAAAGTAATAGTTTGTACTCTCAACACAGAGAATCTTATCGTGACAGCAGAATAGTTGATTAATAAATCTTCAGCAGCACCTAAAGGCCAATTTCAGAATAGCTGTGCTTTTGTAAACGTATCTGAAGTAAGATTTTAGTGAGATGCAGAGGTCTGGCTGTATGCTTAGCAGCAAGACTGTTTGCCATGCTCAACGCTTACCCTGTTAAGTTCTGAATAGCACACAATTCAGTTTGCTCCAGACTCAGTAAGTTGGGTTCTTAGATAATAAAAAATATCTGATCCCGTTTCCATTGTAGTTTAATGAAAAAACTCCCACTGACTTCAGTGGATGTTGCTCAGACTCTAAATCACTTGCACAGTGAGGTAGATAGTATATCTTAACGTGTTTTGATGTAGTGAGAGTTTTGGCCTTGGGTGTGATTCAACAGTAAATAAGTTCTACAAAAAGGCACTGGTGTGTATATGT